CTTTGTTTTAGGAGGGTCAGCTGTTCCTCATCTAGCGGTAATCAGTTGTCTATATTCCTTTGGATGAGATTGGGGTCTGCTGTTCATTTTCCCAGTTCTCTGCTGAGTTACTACCTGGGAATCCCTTTGGCCACCCTGGCCAACAACTCAAAAGAACGTATTGCCTGTCAGCATTGTTGCTTGTTATGTAGCCTTTAGCTATACATATGGACTCTTATGAAGTTATGTTGGCCCATTTAATCTTTGTTTATACTTTCCTTTTGGGTGTTTAAGGCCATACAATTGGCCCAGATAAACCAATTTATTTTTACTTTTAAGGTCGTTTGAGGATCTGTTCCTCAGGGGTCACATGGGCTTGGGAGGAGCTCCTGGCTCCTCTTTTACCAGTTACGCCTATGTGAAGATATGTCAAAGATCCTGCTTGGCCATACTTGGTTTGGCAAGGAAGCATGGAGGACGTGATTCTTCTGTGTTGACCTTCCTCCTTATAGACTGGACACTGGATCAAGTCCATTTGGTGGGGTCTCCTCGGCCTCCTTGATCAAGAGGACAGGTGACCCACCACCATTATAAGACATTTTGAGAGATGCTTATAGTCCCCTGGATCTAGTTGACCTAGGAGGGTAAGGAGCAAAAAGTGTCCTTTATGTCCCTCTGACCAACTTATTATAGACCTCAAAGTATGTCTGTTAAACACTCAAGTAGGTTAGTTCCACCAGTCTGGGATTTTTAATTATTGTGTGTCATGTAGATAAATCTTGGGCAAAGACCAGTTGTTCTCAGATAACCCTTACCTAAATATATATTTCTTGATCTGCTATGTATAACTTGTCAGTAGGTTGTAGGAGTAATATGGTTCTCTCTGGTTTTCAAAACTAGCTAGGCATTGTTTATCTCTCACATTGTCTCACCCCTCCATCATGGTTTTCCCACTTAAGGTGCCCCCATTTTCCCCCTTTCTCCCTTACTAATACCCTTCTCCTATGGTCCTACCTCTCTTGAACTCCTTCTTTCCCTTTATCCCCTAGGTTCCTTGTATACCCTTCCCTCCCCCCTCCCTTAAACTAACCCAATTTTTATCCATATCTCCCTTATTAAGGCCTGTTTCCTACTGTTCTTCTCTTTCAGGTTATTTCTTTTCCTTTACTTCCCTGTTTCCTTTCCATTATCCTGGTTCCTATAGTTATGTCTGGTTGCATACTTATTTATCATAGTCTGGTTCTAGGATCCACATATGAGGGAGAACATATGGACTAAGGAGCGCAACAGAGAGTTCTCGAAGGAAGAAGTAAAGATGGCTATGAAACATCTTAAAAGATGTTCAGCATCACTAA